GAATAAACTGGTTTAATCAAGAAAGGAGTTGTATTGCTGAAGATCCTTGGAAAGAATTTCTTCCGGAAACAAACAAACAAGCAGATACATAACAATATACAAAACAATTTTTAGCTGATAAATTAGATATTACATATAATATATAAAAACTCACTCAATTTTTACCTGTAACATATGTAGTTGGTACACTAGGCATACTACCATATATAAAAGGTCACTTGTCTTCTAAACTATGACATACTTAGGTGACGCACTAAATATAATATTCTGTACAACAACTCACTTGTACTATAAATTATGACATATTTAAGTGACACACTAGATATACTATCATATATAACACGTTACTTGTCTTCTAAACTGACATATTTGGTCACACATTAGATGTAATATTTTGTAGAACTTCTAAACTGAGAAATATTTAGGTGACATACTAAATATGATATTATATACAACAACTCACTTGCCCTATAAACTACAGCAAACATAAGTGACACATTAAATATAATATTCTGTACAACAACTCACTTATCTGCTAGGCTATGACATATTCAGGTAACAGACTAGATATAATATTTTATACAATAACCCACTTATCTTCTAGACTATGGTATACTCAGATGACACATTAAATGTAATATTCTGTACAATAACTCACTCATCTTCTAGACTATGGCATACTCAGATGACACACTAGACATAATATCCTATACAACAACCCACTTATCTTCTAAACTATGATATATTCAGGTGACACATTAAATGTAATATTCTGTACAATAACTCACTCATCTTCTAGACTATGGCATACTCAGATGACACAATAGATATAATATCCTATACAACAACCCACTTATCTTCTAAACTATGATATATTCAGGTGACACATTAAATGTAATATTCTGTACAATAACTCACTCATCTTCTAGACTATGGCATACTCAGATGACACAATAGATATAATATCCTATACAACAACTCACTTATCTTCTAAATTATGACATATTCAGGTGCAAACTAGATATAATATTCTATACAACAACTCACTTGTCCTATAATCTATGGCATATTTATGTGGCACACTAGATACAATATCATATATAAAAAGCTACTTCTATTCTAGACTATGACATATTTAGATGACACATTGGATATATAATTTTGTGCAACAAATCACTTATCTTCTAGACTGTCATATATTTAGGTGACACACTAGATATAATATTCTGTATAACAACTCAGTTATTTACTAGACTATGACATATTCAGGTGACACACTAGATATAATATTCTACATAACAACTCACTTGGCTTCTAGTCTGTTGCTACACCTTATCAAGATGTGCATGCAGTGGATACAGCAACTTCCCAAAATGAGGATCCCTAGAGTTCCAACCTGAAAAGAGTCATTTTTGATAGCTTGGTAGAAAAAACAATTCTGAGATTTAAATATCATATGGGGTAAAAATAATTTCACATCAGAGAAATAGGTATCTATAAAAGTATAATCCAATCAGCAATTGGTAAAAACATATTTTAGAACTGTTGGGGAACTGTAAGTGAAAACAATAACCATTATTTACAGACTACGTAATTGGTACAATGCAGTCTTGAATTCAAGGTCAGATCCTCTATACTATAGGACACCTGGAATTTTTTCATGTTTAATTGTTAACTCCTTATTGTGGCCAGATTGTTGTTGGATATTTTAGTGCAAAGCTATACAATGGAGCATCTGCGCTCTGTCTACCATGATGAATCGAACCTCACAATTTAGTATTGTAAATCCAGAAGGCTTCCCATTGCATTTCACGCACATTATACTTGCTTCAAAGAAGAAATATGAAAACTTAACAACTTTTGATTCAGCGACTATCATCCAAAAATAATTAAATAAGAGGAATAGTAACACTTTAAATCACAGGTGTGATTTAAATCTCCAGAGAGGATTTAAATCGCTAAAATCTGGAGTTTGATTCCCCAGGTGAACTGATTGCAGATAAACCACTGTGAAGTTATGTACTAATAAAACAACAACATGAGTGGGACTAGAAATTTTCTCGCGTAACCTCTCCAGGGCAGACTTACAACACCAAAGTCTGGAGTTAAATTCCCTGCATTGGACAGAGTGCAGATAGACCATTGTGAAGCCATGTAAAATATATATACACTGTAATGATTAGTGAAGTGAACAAAGCTTTTTTATTGGTTTTCATTAAGAATTATTCAATACAATGTATATATACTCAGCAAATTCATTTTTACTATAATAAGAAATCTGCTAAAATATTATTGATTTTGAATTATAAATATATATAATCTTTACCTAATAGAGATTTTCTAAAAAAGTAAATGACATTGGAAATTAGCACCCTAAAGACACATAATTAGGACTTCTGCATTAAAAACAATTATAGTTTGTTGCAAATATTTAAATACCTGAAGAACTGAAAAACTATATTGCAATTTTACCATTATGAGGAGGTCCTTACATTTTGAAGAAAAAATTTTTATCATTTATGAAGGACATTCTACATTATAATAAACTTCATTATCATATGTTAGTTATTTTTAATTCAGTAAGATTTGGAAGTAACATATTGATGTGGTATTTCCCACAAACTGGATACTTGAAGTCACAGAGTAGGGATATCAAACTCTCTTTGAACTGTGAGTAAGTTCTCTGATAAATGAATATATTATACACAAGATCTATAAATCATCTATCTTTATCAACACAAACAGAATGAAACTAATACAATACACCAAAATTATATACACAAGATATACAGATCATCCATTTTTATGTACACATACAATACACAAAAGTTATACAAATATGTATAAATCATCTATCTTTAACACATACAAACATAGATACACACACAATACACCAAAATTATACAAAATATTTATAAATCATCCATCTTTATCAACACAAACAAACAGAGACACATACAATACACCAAAAATATAAACAAGATGTACAAATCATCCATCTTTATCAACACAGACAGACAGAGACACATATAATACACCAAAATTATAGAAAATAGGTATAAATCATCCATCTTTATCAACACAAACAAACAGTGACACATACAATACACCAAAAATATAAAAAAGATGTATAAATCACAGATCTTTATCAACACAAACACAGACAAACCTCATACCAATATTATACAAAATATTTATAAATCATCCATCTTTATCAACACAAACAGAGACACATATAATACACCAAAAATATAAACAAGATGTATAAATCATCCATCTTTATCAACACAAACAGACAGAGACACATACAATACACCAAAATTATAGAAAATAGGTATAAATTATCTATCTTTATAAATACAGATAGACAGAGATAACAAACACAATATACCAAAACTATACACAAGATGTATAAATCACCGATCTTTATCAACACAAACAGACAGACAAACCTCATACCAAAATTATACACAAGATGTATAAATCATCTATCTTTATCAACACAAACATACAGAGACAAACACAATACACCAAAAATATAAACAACATGTATAAATCATTGATCTTTAATAACATAAGCAGACAAACACACAATACACCAAAAATATACACAAGATGTATAAATCGTCTATATTTCTCAAAACAGACAGACAGAGACACATACAATACCCCAAAATTACATATATGTTGTATAAATCATCTATTTTTATCAACACAAACAGACAGACAAACCTCATACCAAAATTATACACAAGATGTATAAATCATCTATCTTTATCAACCCAAACATACAGAGACACAATACACCAAAGTTATATACACAATGTATACATCATCTATCTTTATCAACACAGGCAGACAGAGACACATACAATACACCAAAATTATACAAAATATGTATAAATCATGTATCTTTATCAACACAGACAGACAAGGAAAACAAACATAATACAACAAAATGAAACAC